GAGGTAAGTATATCAAACCAATGTTTAGATGGGAAACCCTAGCAGTGGAGTACTAGCTGTAGTGTGACACAAGGTAAGTATATCAAACCAATGTTTAGATGGGAAACCCTAGCAGTGGAGTACTAGCTGTAGTGTGACAGGAGGTAAGTTTATTTTAGAATGTGAATATAGTTCTTTAAAAGACAGCTTAAGAAACACTGTTGTATTAAATTATGGTTTAAAATCCAAGCATCAAAAAATGATAACCTGTTGTTAATCTGATCTAAAAACCATATCAGTGTGTTCACTATCTAAATATACTTCAAGAAAACTGTTCAGAAAAGGTGTCATCTATGTATTTCTTATATTATGTAGATTTTGTATGATCTCGACACTTCTGTAACCATTGTTTTTCATGATAACAACGAAATATATTTTCCATCGTAGGAGCTAAACTTAACTCGATGGCTACACCAGCCATTTGTTGATAAATATGCTCATTAAACAGAAAACAGGATTCCTTTATTACAAATACCAGTAAGGTTTTTTAAGTTAATTAGTCCATTTACGTCATCTAGATTTTTAAATATCAACTCACAGTAAATTATCCATGGTTTTATCTAATGGTGTATTAGTAAATAAAAACTCAATATCCAAGTTCGTACAATACATGTCTTTCATGATCAACATTCCTCTTTCAAAAAATAGAAGTTTTCATTCTGGTGTATCATGATCAGTCAAAAAAGTGCTTACGAATATTAGGTCTTATTTCATCTGAAACAGAGATAAAACCATTGAATGTTCTATATTACCTGATATGCCATGTTGGTAATGTTGCCCTGGTGCTACTGCTGTCGCTTGCTATTGACTGTTCTATATTACCTGAAAAGCCATGTTGGTAATGTTGCCCTGGTGATACTGCTGTCGCTTGCTGCTCTGCTACAACTACTGTTGCTACTACTACCACTTTCTTATCCTTCATACATCAGACTAGCTCATGTAACTAACTAAGCAAACATTTGTCTGCAATTCTGAGCAGAAACCATCACAACAGAGACAATGATGACTGGACATGCCACAGTACTGCATTTGCACATTGTGGTGTAGCATCGTCGTAAAAGAGCACTATGATACTCAGTGATATACATTTTGTATATCACTAACAATTATTCATCAAATAATTTTACATATTGACAGAATTCATGACAGTCATGGACAAAACAGTTTTATAGAGCTGAAGAACCAGATCTTGTATTGTGCAACATATGCAGCCAAGTTTTGTGTTGCATTTTCAACTGGGTGGGAAGGTGGTTTGGAAATTTTGATTCTACATATCTAGATGAATTCAGATCTCTATTCAAAATAAAAAGTAAAAGATTACTGGAAACCCTTGCTTGGGAATCCAACCACCAGAAACATCTCCTTGACTCGCAGACTTGGTGTTAGACCCAACACATCATTAAGATCCTTTACTCAAGGATTCATGGAATCATAGACTTGAATGTAGAAGTACTAACATTTACATGACAGTACTGTGCATACAGCATGTTACGATGTAAGCTCTCGTGATAGATATTCTAGAGCTCTAGTAACCTAATTTATATAAACATTATCAATATTTTGTTTTAGTTAAAACACGCTTCTTACTCTAGTTTGGTAATAAGTACTGTGATTCATTAGAAGTTACAATGAAGTACCTAAACCTAATATATTTATTACTGTATGCAGAATTTTTGTATCCTTTAAAACATTCAATATACCTTTAGCAGTAACCTGCCGACTGAACCTTCCCCATTTTGTCATATCTGTGCCAGTGTTGTTCTTCTGAAACTGAGAAGCAATGGGTACAAAAAAGGCCACAACAGTTACACCGATGTTGTATTTTCCAGGACGAGAGAAGTTGTACGTTAAACTGGGTCCGGCATCAATAAAGACAAGCTTATCGATGTTCCAAGAATAAGTAATGGTGGAATTATCTAGAAAGCCACTAGGGTCATGAAGAGTAACTGTGAGATTGGTTTCTTCTTTTGTTGATAAGAGAGTTAAGTCTGACTGCTCTTCACTCTCTTCGTCCTGACTAACGGAGATGTTTCCATTCAGGAGCTCTAATGAGTGAAAATATGCCAATTTTAAATCTTTTCCCCAAAATCAAACTTGTTTTTTTACTAAACCTAGCAGTTAGCAGTGAAGCTGAAATAAAAATAAGAAGATAAAAATACTTAACCAGTTAGAAAGTGAAAATATACACAGAATCATATATTTATTAAGATCCTATAGGTAAAATTTCACATTCCAAGTTTTATGAAAATCAGTCAATAATAAAGTCAGGACAAAATACATTAAATGAATTTAACCCTGCAGTGGAGATTCTGTAACCCTAAAACCAAGAGATCGTAAAAGTATTATGTTGATACTGGCAAAACATTTTTAATATCTGCCTTC